TAATATAACTAATAATATACTAATAATAACTAATAATAAACTTAATAATAAAACTAATACTACAACTCATTCTATAATATTTCTGTCCCCTTTAAGAATGAACTCCATGAATTCTAACTTCTCTTAACACCATTGAAAAGTCTTCTTCATTTAATTCTTCCAAGTTACTAAAGGTAATTGTCGTAGTGGAATAAAGATAAGGTAATCCACAAACTTGGAGAAGTTGGTAAATTCGTTCAGCACATTTCTATGCTTGGGCAGCACGTCTGGATTCTAAAGCTTTTCTAAGATTATTACAAATCTTCTATATCTTGTTTTTACTATTATCAGCTTCTTTCTTTAGCTGTTCTAAATAATAAGATGTTTCTAATATTCGAATCTGTTGATTATGTAATTTTCTATAGCTTTCTTCTTTTAATCAACTAATAATTTCTTTAAGTTTTTCTTTAAAGTTTATTCTAATTAGAGAGTTGTGTTGAATAAAAACTTCTTCTTTTACTTCTGTGAGATCCTTAATAAGTCGAGTGAGAACTTCATTTTCTGTATCTTGTATCTGTACAATATCTGCATTGGGTTGCAAAGGAAGTACATCTAATTCTTCTTCTATAGGTTCGATAGAAAAAGTAAGATCGTCAAATGCTATATCCGGAAAATAATTATTTAATACGTCAACATTTTTCAAATGTTGTGTAGGTAGATCCGGTTCTGTTTCTGGTACATGTTGTAATGATGTAATGATATCAGTTCTATCATATACTACAATAGAATTTCCAGTTATAATTAAACTATTGTTTATGGCAAGGGGGTCCTAATTCTATAGTACAAGAAAGTTATTTAAAGCATCTATGGTTTGGGGCTATAATTGTTATAGGGTGGGAGGTTCCATTTTTAAAATGTAGGGTGAAGAATTACTAAATTAGAGAATAAGAATTTAGATGCAAGGGGGTATCTATTTATAAAGTTTTATAGTAATACGAATATAATTAAGAGATTTTTGAAATGTTTGCCTGTGTATCCCA